GTCTGCCTTGGGAAAGCTAGTGTGTCTCCTACATAGTGATAACACTCGTTGCCTTCTCTAGTGCAGCTCAACCAGGTCTCGTCCCATTCGTCGGTATTTGTGATATCACAAATCCTGGAAAATATGCGTTGTAGTCCAAACAAGTCGTTCGTTGTAGTTTTTGAAAAGTGATTTCTGTTAAATAAAATATCTCCTTTTGAAATGGACTTTGAGCTTTGCAACTTTGCAGATCTTTTTTATGCTCAAACAGCAACAATACAGACTAACTAAAGTTGAAAAAGTGAAAAAGCATAATAGGACCCCCCTAAGACCCCCTTTGTGGTCCAGGGTCACATATTGTGTTGGTCCCCCTTTTGCTGCCAAAACAGCCCTGACCCGTCGAGGCATGGACTCCACTAGACTCCTGAAGGTGTGCTGTGGTATCTGGCACCAAGATGTTAGCAGCAGATCCTTTAAAGGGTTAGTTCACCCAAAAATTATAATTCTGTCATTAATTACTCAAAACGTAGCAAGGACATAAAATATCTTAATTTGTGTTCCGAAGATGAACGAAGGTCTCACGTGTTTGGAACGACGTGAGGGTGAGAAATTTTTGGGTGAACTATCCCTTTAAGTCCTGTAAGTTGCAAGGTGGGGCCTCCATGGATCGGACTTGTTTGTTCAGCACATCCCACAGATGCTTGATTGGAGTAAGATCTGGGGAATTTGGAAGCCAAGTCAACACTTCAAACTCGTTGTTGTGCTCCTCAAACCATTCCTGAACAATTTTTGCTTTGTAGCAGGGCACATTATCCTGCTAAAAGAGGCCACAGCCACCATGGAACACTGTTTCCATGAAAGGGTGTACATGGTCTGCAACAATGCTTAGGTAGTGGTACGTGTCGAAGTAACATCCACATGGATGGCAGGTTTCCCAGCAGAACATTGCCCAAAGCATCACACTGCCTCCGCCGGCTTGCCTTCCTTGTATGTTTACCCAGGTAAGCGACGTACACTCCCCTGGCCATCCACGTGATGTAAAAGAAGATGTGATTCATCAGACCAGGCCACCTTCTTCATCATTTGAGCTACAGTAGCTCGTCTGTTGGATCGGACCACATGGGCCAGCCTTCGCTCCCCACGTGCTTCAATGAGCCTTGGCCGCCCATGACCCTGTCGCCGGTTCACCACTGTTCTTTCCTTGGACCACTTTTGATTGATACTGACCACTGCACACCAGGAACACCACACAAGAGCTGCAGTTTTGAAGATGCTCTGACCCAATTCTTATGATTGCCCATTTTACCTGCTTCTAACACATCAACTTTGATGACAAAATGTTCACTTGCTGCCTAATATATCCCACCCACTAACAGGTGTCGTGATGAAGAGATAATCAGTGTTATTCATTTCACTGGTCAGTGGTCATAATTTGATGCCTGATCGGTGTATGTATATATTTTCAAAAGAACAGCATTTATATATAAAATAGAAAATAGAAATATTGTAACAATGTAAAAGTCTTTACTGTAGGAACACATTCACTATTATACACTAAGCATTTTCCCTCAATAAACTCATAATTTGCTTCTTATTGATTGTAAGTAAGGTAGTTGTTGTTGTAGTAGTTGTGTTTAGATTTAAGGGATCTAGATGGTCATGCAGAATAAGGCATTCATATCTGCTTTTAAAGTACTAATAAACAGCCAATATGCTAGTAATATGCACATTAATAAGCAACTAGTTAATATTTAATAGTGTTCCCTAATCTAAAGTGTCCCAAAACTGATAAAACAACACCATAAGTGTCATATAAGTCCATATGACTATATGTATATTTATGAACAATTCTTTTCTTTCTTTTGTCCTGATCTTCTTTAACACACTGAATAAACATACAGCTTACTGGAGAGGAATAATGAATCTGAAATCTTGGAATGTTATGCACAAGCTGTATTAACTACATTTATGATACTTTTTTTTGGTGCTTTTGCATAATACTGTTTCCATGAAAGGGTGTACATGGTCTGCAACAATGCTTAGGTAGTGGTACGTGTCGAAGTAACATCCACATGGATGGCAGGTTTCCCAGCAGAACATTGCCCAAAGCATCACACTGCCTCCGCCGGCTTGCCTTCCTTGTATGTTTACCCAGGTAAGCGACGTACACTCCCCTGGCCATCCACGTGATGTAAAAGAAGATGTGATTCATCAGACCAGGCCACCTTCTTCATCATTTGAGCTACAGTAGCTCGTCTGTTGGATCGGACCACATGGGCCAGCCTTCGCTCCCCACGTGCTTCAATGAGCCTTGGCCGCCCATGACCCTGTCGCCGGTTCACCACTGTTCTTTCCTTGGACCACTTTTGATAGATACTGACCACTGCACACCAGGAACACCACACAAGAGCTGCAGTTTTGAAGATGCTCTGACCCAATTCTTATGATTGCCCATTTTACCTGCTTCTAACACATCAACTTTGATGACAAAATGTTCACTTGCTGCCTAATATATCCCACCCACTAACAGGTGTCGTGATGAAGAGATAATCAGTGTTATTCATTTCACTGGTCAGTGGTCATAATTTTATGCCTGATCGGTGTATGTATATATTTTCAAAAGAACAGCATTTATATATAAAATAGAAAATAGAAATATTGTAACAATGTAAAAGTCTTTACTGTAGGAACACATTCACTATTATACACTAAGCATTTTCCCTCAATAAACTCATAATTTGCTTCTTATTGATTGTAAGTAAGGTAGTTGTTGTTGTAGTAGTTGTGTTTAGATTTAAGGGATCTAGATGGTCATGCAGAATAAGGCATTCATATCTGCTTTTAAAGTACTAATAAACAGCCAATATGCTAGTAATATGCACATTAATAAGCAACTAGTTAATATTTAATAGTGTTCCCTAATCTAAAGTGTCCCAAAACTGATAAAACAACACCATAAGTGTCATATAAGTCCATATGACTATATGTATATTTATGAACAATTCTTTTCTTTCTTTTGTCCTGATCTTCTTTAACACACTGAATAAACATACAGCTTACTGGAGAGGAATAATGAATCTGAAATCTTGGAATGTTATGCACAAGCTGTATTAACTACATTTATGATACTTTTTTTTGGTGCTTTTGCATAATTTTAAAGTTTAAAAACGACCTGAAAAGTATTTAAATCTTCACCTTTTGTGTTAAAATTGTCTCTCTACCTGTGTCTATAAACACTTTTTCTTCTCTGTTTACATTAGGAATTTACCTGTTTGATATGACCTACATTGACTCCGCCTACCCTGCTTCTGACAGCATCATCGAGACTGAGCAAAGAACCAATCAGATGAACAATCTACTGCGCATCATCTCCTATCTACAGGTGTCCTGTAACTACGGTAAGTTGCTTTCAGAAACCATATTCATTTTCAATTGATTATGTACATGTATATGTACATTTTCATGTTAATGTTCAGATCTCGTTAAAAGAAAAAAGGAAATCTAAATTATAAAACTGCACACAGTGTATTGATGTGAGAATTTACGCCCCGCAGATCATTTAGTCATGTTACCACACGTGCAGAAGTATTTGATGTCAGTGCGCTACATCGAGGAGCTCCAAAAGTTTGTGGAGGATGACAATTACACGTAAGTTACCCAAACACATTGCAATGCTCAGTAGCCTTTATTTAGCTGAACTGATTGTTTTGGGTGATTTTAGCTTTGTGTTCTGCCCTGCAATTTATTGCACTTCATAAACGTCTATGCCAGCTTTCACTTTAAACTGCCCACATCTGTAAGACCCCTGTAAATCGAGACCCTCCCTGGTTTTAACACTTCATTTTGCACAGCTGCCTATACTATTTATTAAAACATGTGCTGTCTGTGGACTTTATGTCTTCTTGGTTTGGCTGCATGGCCCACCGGCCAACCAAACACCCAATTTACCGGAGACAGCTGCACCAACTTGGCATGACTTTATGCTACAATATAATCCCTATTTCCTTTACCTCAGGCTTCATAAACATGTGAAGCCCATAATGTATTTTCCTAGTACAGTCTTATATAATATGGTTTTCTAAAAAATTGTGCTATGTGGTGTGGTATGACAAATGAATGTTATGAATGAGATTTCGAAAACAGTATCATTTTTGGAAATGTTACATGCTGCACATGTTATGTATTATGCATACATGTGGCTTTCTGCCTCTACAAAGACAAGCCTAGCATTGATGTTTTCATCATTATTAAATGAGTTTTCCCTGTTTCCTCCGGAGCTTTTTTCACTCCTACTGTGTGGTCCTGTTTGTCTGTCTCACAGAAAGGGCAGGTGGTTTTATTGCGGTCCAATTTCTTGCCGTCTAGACACTTATGAACGCAACATCAGGAATTGCAAAACTCTGGATCCCCATGTTTCCACTGTTTCCATGTGGAAATGTCAAAGTTAATTTTCAGTTAGGTGGCTCTTTCAAGTGGTGTGTTGAAGTGTTGAAGACATTCATAAGATATTTTATAATCTTTTTTTATTTATAATTGTTTAATAATTATAATTTTATAAAAATGCATTAAAAAAAAATTTGAACCTACAGTAATTTAAACTGCTGTTTTGGCACCAAGTGTTGGTTTGTAATTACTGACAAATGTATGTTTTCCCTAAATTAGGTTTATATATGCATATTGTACAATAACTTGTACAATATACATATCGAATGGTTAAGCTTCCCGTGTGTCACAAGCTTTTATGCTTTTATATCAAATGATCAAAGTATTATTTGAATAGTTGGATACATTCAAGAAGGTCATGACCTCTGAAATGTAACGGGCCAAAATCACCATTTTAAGGGTCAATGCAGATATCTTATCTTATTTTTTCAATGTCACGTGAAAGGAAAAAATTTACCACTTTTGTGACAAGTGCGATATTTTTATTCTAATCTGATTTATGCAGACAGATAAAAGACTGGAACTCAGTAGAGACGGTGATATATATCAAGATCTTTAGTTGTTTCATTTTAGAAAAGCTGGATTATTTTGCCTTGGTGTAATTTTCCTCACTGAATCATTTCTGACTGGCGACAGTAATGAGTTAAAGCTGTTGCTCTGGTAATGCTTTCAAACACGTCCCCATATGAGAAAATAAAGAAAGGCACCTTTTTGGCAAAGTGACATAATTCACACATCTTTTCCATGCTTCGTTAAAAAATTACTCGCCTGGCTTACTTCAGTATCAGGTGAAACTTCTCAAGTGAAACTAGGCCATGCAGAGATAAACGTTTACATGGAGTCTGTACCATAATGAAAAACATGTCACGAAGATGTAGTGCATATCAAGGGGAAGCTATTCGGTCATGGTGTAAATAAAGATGTTTGTAATAATTTTTCTTAAATCTTTATCTGGTTCTTGAACTTCAGTTGTTTTAATATAGTGTGTCTAGTTAAAAGATCACTAAAATAAAGTATTGTACAAAAGACAACCCAACAAAGTTGCTATTTATGAAAGTGTATTTATTGTACCATATTATTAAGTGCTCATATTTAGACATTCAGACAGTGACTGAGCTCCATGTGAAATTGTCCATGTGAATTGACAACACCAAAGGATACATGGCCGCCAGAGGAGGATGGGTTTGGTGGAATGGATGGGACTGCAGTATAATGGTTGTGTTTGGGGGAATGACATAATTGTCTGGCAGTCTGTGGGGTTGGAAAACCTCAGCGATCCTGGGTCACAGTCTTAAAATCCTTAGCCCATGCTTACAGCATGTCCTGCCATCTGGCACCGCTGTTACAGAGAGCTCTGTGGAGCTGGGCTAGAATAGAGAGGTCGTTTTCAGAAAACAGGGCCAGTTGTGCCTAATATTTTGTTGCTTTTTTTATTTAGGGCTGTCAGTTTAACGCGTTAATTAATTAGTTATGAAAAGTAACATGATTCAAATATTTTAATGCAGTTAATGCACTGACCCCACCCACAGACCAGTACGTCATCTTACATTTCATACAGATGACTGTTGACAAATATGATGCAGGGCAAAATCTCCATAAATGCAGTTATGGCCTAAAATTCAAGATATTGTGGCAAAAAATGCCCATGAGTTTTTGTCTCATATTTATATCATATGATAAGCAATATCACATGAGCAGCGAGAGCAATATCACACGAGTGCAAATGTGATTTTATACAACAGTTCAGTAAATAAGTTAATATTGTGTTACATTTTAAACACAAATTTGTAATATCTACTTGATACATTCTCATTTAACACAATAATGGCTTTAAATGATCTTTTGTGGGTAATTTCACAGCCAAATTTAATTTGTGATTCATTAGATTAATTAATTGACACATCATGTAATTAATTAGATAAAAAATTTGAATCAACTGACAGCCCTACTTTTTTTTTTATCATTTCTTTCAAAAACACTTCTGAACGGTGGGTCTGAGAGGTAAAAATATGATGCGTACCAGGGCCTTATCCACCAGCAAATACTTGTGTGGCATGTTATGACTAAATGTTTATATGTATGTATTCATTTATTTTCTATTAGTCAAAGAATCCTAAAAATATGTCAAAAAATATTAAGAAGCACAACTGTTTTCAACATTGATTATTATGAGAAATATTTCAAATATATTTCATCAGTATTTTAGAATAATTTCTGGAAATGTTGAAAATTCAGCTTTGCCATCACAGGGATAAATTACATTTTAAAATATATTACAATAGAAAAAATTATTTCACAATATTGCAGTTTTCCTGTATTTCTGATACACACACTCTCATCATACATGCAAGATTTGTCAAGCATGGGGAAAACAAATAGAACAATTTAATACCTGAATGAATTTTTGCCTTGATGAATTTGCTCACGTATGTGTTACTTTGTTACTTTGTCTTTAACAAAAATTGTAAAATGTCAAATTGAAATATGTTGCAATCGAAATTTGCTTTGCTTGAGAAAACTTGAAAATATACAGTTTCATTTGATTCATAGTACATTTAAAGTAATGTTAATATTAGCCAGCTGGTGAACTCATTCTCTAAAATCACTTGGGTAGGCAGAGCATTCGCGGCTATATGGACTACGCACCCTAATATTTGTGCACACACACACATTACCCAGATTTAAAATGTTTTGGGGAATATTAAGGGGTGAAGCTCAGTGCAAAATGGAAAATCACAGCCTAACTAGCAAATGCTAACCTTAACTAGCTTAGCCAGCTTTCACGACCCTACGTCATTTTACAGTTATTGTTTTTGTGCTTCGTTCCAAAAACTATACTCTTTCTGTAAAAAAAAAAAATCAGTATTATCTTTTCCCATAATAGTGTCCTTTTCAAACACAATTATTCAACTCTATGTATAAGCATAATGATGAATAATGATACAGATGAATACTGTGACTGTGAGAGAAACTTACTAAGTTTAAACTAGGGATGCACCGATACCACTTTTTCCAGTACTCACCCGATACCGATACTTTTATTTTTGGTACTTGCCGATACCGAGTACCGATACCAATATTTTTATTGCATTTGTACATTTTTTAAATATTGGGTACAGAAACCAAGAGGGTATGCATAATGTGAGTTGGTTAACTTAATTTATCAAATAGATACAGTCAAACCAAAATTTATTCAGACACCTTCAACATTTCTCACATTATCACAGTTTATTCGCTATAGTTTAGAAAATGGTAATAAAATATAACAAGAACTCAGAGTTACACGCGCTTTGCTGTAATAATGCAGGGAACCACTCGTTATAAATCTCCTAACTGTGATATTTTCAGAAATAGAAGTCGCGTTTTTTCATCTGAAACGTGCTGCGATTTATATTCCAAAGCCACTCATATAATGCAGAAACACTCAAGCAAGCAAAACACGCGCAACGCGTGCAGGTATTTGTACTGCTGCAGAATAGTACAGCCTAGCGCATTTCACACAAGCTGCTAGATTCACTTTCGGTAAGTTTGAAAATAAATTATGTTTATAGTGAATGCCCCTATGAATGGTTTTATTTTAACGATTTCGTTTTAATCCAAATGATGTGTGCTAAGTGAGTGAACAAGATCACACAACAGAAGTGCACGCGCGCTCTCTCTCTCTCTCTCTCTCTCTCTCTCTCCCTCTCCCTACCGTTAAGTAACTTGTGCATTGCTTTACTTACTTGTTTCCGACCGAACTACAAACTTTCCAGTGATGTCTGTGAGAAAGATATATTCACTGGACAAGCTCGCGCATCTGCGCCGCCGCGCGCTCAATCCACTCAGCATGCTTTGTTTATCAGCTCGCGCACATCAGCTATACAGACGTTAATACTGAATGTTTAACATTATATTCATTGCATACATATACTTCGTAGTAGACATCCTTAACTCCATTCTGCTGTCTGTTGTTCTGTTGTTGGTGTTTCTTTGTCTGAATATGGCGCTTATCACATGCTGTGTGGTATCGGCGTTTGGTATTGGGGCATTTTAACGAGTACGAGTACGAGTACAGGAGACCAGTATCGGGCCCGATACCGATACCAGTATCGGTACCAGTATCGGTATCGGTGCATCCCTAGTTTAAACCATGTTGTCAAATATTATTTTATTGACTATAACCCTGTCACAACTCTTTTGTACAGACTATCATTGAAGATTGAGCCTGGGAACAGCTCACCTCGTCTGGTATCCTCCAAAGAAGACCTTGGAGGTAAAGTCTTTATCCCTTCATCCTTTCAGTTTACTTTTCTCAAAAACTCCTCCTGGAAGTGGTTAACTCTGCTCTTTTTTTTCCTGAGTTTTGATTACCAGTGGAAAAATGGAGGATCATCAGTAATTCAGCTAAAGTACCTCAGCTATACCTGACTGGGGAGGTGCTGCATGGACTGCATTATGTCTGGAAGTCGTTGATGGTTAGAGAGATTCTGCAGATGTGAAAGTTGGAGGGGCAATGAAAGAGTGAGATCCATGTAAACTAGCATTTTCAGGGTGATGTAGATCAGTCCCTCGGACGCTTGTTTAAACAGAGTGACTTTTCTTCAATTATTCCATGAGCTTATTCTTCTCAGTCTGGCAGATAAAAACCACCTGCTGTCAGTAGAGTGGCTCTGGAGGAGCCGTCTTTCTGGATCATTGTGGTCTTTGGTAACTTTCAGAAAGACCTTTGAAGGTTAAAGTTAACTGTTGACTTAAAATGCATAAGCTTAAGTCGTCTTCTCACAAACATTGAAGTTTGTGGCCATGGTTCTTTCAAAGTTTACATAAACATCCAAAATATACAAAACACAAATTGTGTGTAAAAATGCATTGTGGAGTGAGTAAAATATATCTGTGCCTGGAAAATAAAAATTTTTACTACTTTAAAAACAAGTTATTATTTTATTACTGAAACTTGGTTCATTTGTGCAGTAAATTTAAAATAAATAATAAATGTCCTAGCTAACCTTAACAAGAATGGCACGTTTTAACATCCATTGTGCAAGAGTAGTTTTCAGTTTTATGCACTAATGACAGAAATGTGGCTTATGGGTGAACGCCAGAGCTGTATAGAGTAGAAACAGGTTTTAAAAGTGTGTTTGGTCCTTGTACCTCAAGACAAGCATCTGAGGTTAATGGAGAGTTTGAATGAGATCATGGTGTATGTCAGTTCCTCTCATAAGATGCAGAGCAATTAGGATGTTTCCTATTTCTGACTATCAGATGGTGGAGTGGGAAATTGAACTGCACTATGCATTTTATGGTTGTAACAGCTGTGGCAGAACTGGACAAACACATGGAGACATCTAGGTGGAAATTGGTTATGGAAAGAATCTGATTTGTTTGTACTACTGCAGTTTTTATATGTAAGTTGTACGATGACATCATTGGTCTTTCTCATAGACTCAGAAAGCATTGTGAAAATGAATGTATATTATTTTTTTTATTTTTTGGGGGGTAACATTTTAGTATAGGGACCGATTCTCACTATTAACTAGTTGCTTATTAGCATGCCTATTATTAACATATTGCCTGTTTATTAGTACTTATAAAGCACATTATTAATCCTACCCAATACCTAAACCTAACAACTACCTTACTAACTTTTAATAAGAAGCAAATTATGAGTTTATTGAGGCAAAATTGAATCTTAAAATAAAGATTCATCGGAAGCTTCATTGGAAGCTTATTTTAATTGAATCTTAAAATAAAGTGTGACCATTTAAAAAATAAATAAATAAATAAATAAAAAATCTGGGATGTCAAGTTTAATTCATTGTGATTTGATTTACATAAAATCCTCCTTCACTTCATTTTTTTGTTACAGTATGATGTGACAGTGTCTCTAAAACTAAGCATGTAATTTAAGATACTCTTTGGGAGACATTTTTATTCTAATATTGACAATATTATATTTTACTTTATTTTACTATTTGTGATCCTGGACCACAAAACCAGTCATAAGGGACACTTTTTTGAAACTGATATTTATACATCATCTGAAAGCTGAAATAAGCTTTCCATTGATGTATGGTTTGTTCGGATAGGACAATATTTGGCCGAGATAACTATTTGAAAATCTGCAATCTGAGGGTGCAAAAAAATCAAAATATTGAGAAAATCGCCTTTAAAGCTGTCCAAATGAAGTCCTTAGCAATGCATATTACTAATCAAAGTAATTGTTGGCTATTGCTACACATATACCCATGCTACTTATGACTGGTTTTGTGGTCCAGGGTCACATTTTATTTCATAATTCCAAGTTCCAACATTATATATTGTGTGTACTAAAACCATGTGAAACAGATCATCAGATGATTATTTATTAATTCATGCATTACATTTATGCATTTTTGATCATATATCTTAGCTAAATTTAATAAGGCGAAATGTAGAGTCAGCTGATCATAAAATAGCCCCTAACAGGGTAATCAGGACCCCATCCCAGTAAAATCAATTAATCACATACTATAATTGCTAATACTTGAAAAATTAATTTGAGATATCACCCACTTAGATTACATTTGGTCTGATTATGCAGATCACTTAATTTCATTTCACATTCATTTGAATACTAATGACAAATTGATAAAATATAAAAATTGGATTAAAATAGAATATTTTGAGGGTGCCAGAGTAATCATATCCATCATATAAATTTAATTATGATTTTCTGTTAATAAACATTGCACTCTTGCTGTTGAATGTGTAAACATCCTTTGGTACTGTATATTTCATAGGATATTCATGCTGGTATTCATTTCTATTGACACTCTTGTAAATACTACTCTGTTGGGCACTAAACTAGATGTTTTCTTGGCCCAGATATCTAGTGTTTTAAAGGCCTCTAATGTTGCGATATTTACAGGCATTAGAGCTAGTCACTTCCGATTGTTAGTTGGGAACAGGGGCGGATCTACCGGGGTGGCACGGGGTGGCAACTGCCACCCTAAGAAAAAGCCCACCTGCCACCCCAGAATTATCACAGAATAAAATATAAATGTATGCAGTGTTTCATGTGCTACTTTTCAGCCGCGGCGATGACAGAGTACGCAAAATAATGGCAAAAAACACGTCTTTCAATAAACTGTGCACGATGGTTGCACGCGCACGCAGCGTGCCAGTGTAGTCGGCTTCATTAACAAATGACACTTTTGAACCGGAGTCAAAACCACAAAGCGTGGCCCAGTTCACTACTAATGAATTGTTTATACATTTGTTCGTGAATCAGATAATTACTGCTTCTCAGCTAACTCAGAAGTCCTCTGAGAAATCTAATCCCGTCCTGATGTGTCTGAGATGCATCGCGTAATTGTTTGGTGATCCGATTCTCCGACCGCTCGCTCCACTTTCATCATGGATATAAGCCGTAACAATAACATGAAATCAATAAGATGCCGATCACGGAAACTAATAGCAGAATTAGGAAAGAATCTAGTCGTATTGCAGTTTTCTCGATTGTTAATATAACAAATTTCCAAAGGGTGCCGCGACTAAAGAAAGGTTGGGAAACACTGATTTAGAAGATGAAAACCAAACAAAGTTAAGTCTGACACAGAGAAAGGGACCGATGGCCGGCCAGCTGGGGTTCGTCTTTATTTAAATTTATGTGTGTGTACTTGTAACATGTTTGGTTGGTAAAATAGATGTTGTAAATTCAAATCAGAGCGTCTTCCGTGTCTGGAATGGATGTATTCTTGAGTCTATAAATGTAACAATAATATAATAAGATAACCTTGTTTGAAATGGGTTTGGCTAAAAGAAAATTTTGGTTTCGTCTATACTACTAGGTACTTATACTATATTGACTGGGTTAAATAGAATTGCATTTCTAAAAAGAGACTAAAATACAATTTTCATTGACTAAAACTAGACTAAATGTCATCAGTTTTCGTCGACTAAAACTAGACTAAATGTCATCAGTTTTCGTCGACTAAAACTAGACTAAATGTCATCAGTTTTCGTCGACTAAAACTAGACTAAAATGCTCAGACTTTTAGTTGACTAAAACTTGACTAGACTAAAAAGAGTATGAACATGACTAAAACTAATAAAAACTAAAATGACAGTTTCACACAAAGACTAGACTAAAACTAAAATTAAAACAGGCAGCCAAAAACAACACTATGTGAATGTTGTACAGTCTTGCTCGAGACTAAAAAATGAGTTGAAAGTGTACCGAGCTGCGAAAGAGACATTGTTTCTCAAGCGCTTTCCGAGAGCGCTACTTGAGACGGAGTGAAACACGGACAAATGCGTTTCCCCACTCCACCGCCCAGTTTTGCGTAGGGCCCCCAGAAGTATAGGATCGGCACTGGCTGAGTCAATCATGATCTACAGGGGTTTTATACTTACACATACAGTATAATTACAGTTCAGTACCAGTACATTAGATAATGGAAATGTAACTATTCTATACAGTAAACTGTAGCATGTTGTACACCTTCAAACGTGTGACTGTCAAATTTTGTTTGTAACCGTTTTTTATGTGTACTGCATTTTTGCAGAACTGAGAAATGACTGCCTAGAGATATAGCTAGTCTTGTGTCAGGAGACCAAGAAACTGCTATAGTACTGTATACTGTAATAAAATTTGGCAGAATGTGCAGAGGATGCTAAATTTACTTTTTTATTTTTTTACTGTACTGTATTGTGGTGTATACCAAGTTCATACAATTATTTGGTATTTGAACTTTTCTAGTGCTTTTCATTTACTGCAAGATTACTTTACAGTAGTAAAAATGAAAACTATTTTTCCCCAAAAGTTCATTGCTGAATTATACATCTGTATCTGTAATTTAATTTATGTATACTGTAATAGACATTGAGCTGCAAAAATAATTCCTGAATCCTAGTAAGAGGTTTTTTTTTGTTAGAGTGTTATTGATCTTAGTGTGCACTGGGCAGGAAAGTCATCTGTGTATTTGAATTGTGTGTAAGCATTTACAGTTTTTTTTCAACACAGTTTCTGAAACCTGACACCAGAACCACACATCAAATCTGCAAAACCATACAATAATTTTTGGCCTTTGACTCAGTTTTCAATTTCATAAAACACTTTTTGCAAAACACAACACAAGAATGACAAAATAACCTTATATAATTCATAATATACATGGTTGAGTACATTATGCACTCATACACTATGTACTTATGCACTGTTTATAGTGCGTCATTTGGGACGCAGCTTTTGTTTGGCCTTCCAAAAGAGGACGATATCCGTTTCATCATGCCTGGAGCTGATCCGTGCTGTTTTCGCTGAGGAAATAAATCAACTTTGCGCTGTGGATCGCCGGATCGACTTTCACCGTGGACGAAGCGGAGTCCAGCCCGGGGTCGTCACATGTGGTTGCCGCAAGCCCGCCGGCCGTTCCTCACTCAAGCCCGCCGGCCGCCGCTCACTCTAGCCCGCCGTGTGTGACGCATTTTATGGAGGACTGTTTCCTGAACCTGCAGAGTAGCCTATAATGCGTCTGTGGCACAAAGGCTGTTTCTATAAAGTGGGGCAGTTCCAACTTTGCAAGGACAGTCTGGCATAATGTGTTTTTTTAACCTTAAACCACATAAACACATTTCATTACACCAAATACACGACATAATGTTCTTTTTAGCAACGTCATATGACCCCTTTAATATTATGGAAAATGTGTTTGCAAATGTTTGAGATGTGTTTGTGATATTTTGAATGCAGTGCTTCATTTTGCAAGAGATGTGAGGCATTTTGCATTTTGTGTGTGCAATTCTTGGATTTGTGTGTAAAGTTTTGAAAAAGGAGGCAAAGTTTTGAAAATGTGTGTAAGCAGTTGAAAAAAACTGGTAGAAAAACTAATAACTAGATTGAAAAGTTTGAAAGACAAATTTATGCTGGTTTGTCTTAACCTTCTTTGGTGATACAAGCTCAGAAACATTTATAACCTTTTGGAAGTTTTTTATATTGTGTATTGACTTGGTGCCATGATGGATATTGAAATGTTGTTATTTATTTTTCATTTTAAACAGTAGCCTATAGATGATTACTTAATGGTAATACAATATTCGTGAACACAACTGTATGTCAGACCATAAATCCCCAAAAACTATGCATGGGGGCTTGCTTTGGTGTTGCCACCCCTCATAGACCCCATGCCACCGCTTTGCCACCCTAAATATTATTTTCTAGATCCGCCCCTGGTTGGGAACAAAGTCTGGTTTCATTTAGGTAAGGGCTCTTCTTACCCATTATGAGACTTATTAACCTACTATAAAAGACAGTGGGGAATGTCATAATTAACATACTCCTAATAATAATCCAAAGCCATTTCCAGCATTGCCACACATCCCCCTCTGGTTTGACTTTACAGTGGAAAAGGCCTATAAACATGACTGCAGGGAACATTTTCACTGGCTGTCCACTTATTTTTTGCTACTTTGGAGTGGTATTCTTGTTTACCAGGCCGGTAATACTGTGGCTGGGTTGAGAAATGAGCCATCCTCTTTGACACAAAGCCTAACTTTCTGCTGTGGAACTATGGGACTGTTTTCAAATGTTAGCCTTCTGAGAGCCATAATTATCCACATGCAGCTTTAATAGGTGCTAGTAAGCATTTTATGGTTGTTAGTTTTGAATAGCACAGGAATGGGCTTTACGAATGCAGCTTCGGTCTACATATAACTTTTTCAATAAGCAAGGAGATCTATGACAATTAGTATGTGAGTTTATGTACCATATTTACTTGGAGGTGTAAGTGTTGTCATAAGTGTGTGTGTGTGTGTGTGTGTGTGTGTGTGTACAGGACCCTCAGAAGAGTCTGTCTCAGTGAGGTATAACCGACGACCAACCTGTCCTGATACATCAGTGGTTGCCCACCTTCCAACACCACCTCCTGCCCGACACAGGAAGAGCCACAGTCTGGGGAACAAGTAGGTATCACACTACATTATGAGAAAAGTTCACCCCTCACAACACATATGACAAGTGTGAAAAAGTACACTTTAGCATACGTTTAAAAAGAGTGTTTATTTCAAAAATAGTATACATGTAATATACATAAGTGTGAACTGAACAGACACTGAATTGTATATTAATAGCAATGAAGTGAAAATGTATGTATTATAGTTTAAATTTATGTTAAATGCAATTAGCTGAATTGTAGTGTGCTTTATTGACCCACTTAAGTAGGGCCTACAGTAAGTACTTTTTTTATATATTTTCATAATTATTTCACTTATCTTTTGAAACATGGTTAAAGGGATAGTTCACCCAAGAATGAAAATTCTGTCATCATTTACTCGTCCTCAGGCTATTTCAAACCTGTATGAATATCTTTCTTCTGCTGAACACAAAAGAAAATATTTTGAAGAATGTAACCAAACAGTTGCTGGTCCCCATTGACTTCTATAGTATGTTTGTCCATACTCTGGAAGTCAATGGGGACCAGCAACTGTTTGGAGACCAACATTCTTCAAAATATCTTTTTTTATGATCTACAGAAGAAAAACTCATACAGGTTTGGAACAACTTGAGGGTGAATAAATGACTTAAGCCATTTTAAATATATTTGTAATTACACAGTTGTAATAATGATGTTGCAATTTAGTGCTTTTAAAATATATTAACTTCAAATGTAATATCAAACATGTGCTTTAGTATGCTAGTCAACACATTTAGTCTTTAGGTACTCGTAAGAGGCCTTTTATTTCATTAATATTATATTATCTGCAAGTAGAAATATACTTTCAACATCTGAAGTATACTACAAGTACATATTCAATACAACTAAGTGCACTTCTTTTTTACAAGGGAACACGGTGCCTAATCTGACTGATTGTCTTTGTGTTTCAATTCTGTCATCTCTTCTCAGTATGATGTGCCAGTTTGGTGTGGTGGAGAGTAAAAGTGCGACATTCCCTGCAAAAGAAAAGGCTCGACACCTACTGGACGACAGCTTCTTAGAGTCTCACAGTCCTGTCAGAAACCACACACACGATTCAGTATTTACCAACGGCATCTCACTTGGTACTACAGTTTATTCCTCTTGTACACACCCTCATATCTCAGTCTTTGTCCCACTAACACAAGATTAATGTGTTAGGATATCTGCATCCTAATTTAAAGGTGTTCTCTTTTACCACCATAAAATATGACTGCTGTGTTGAAACTGTGTTTGCATTTATGATTTTTCACCACTACATGACAGTAGTGTTCAAGCTTTTGTTATTAGAGTGGGTTATTGTCTTTCACAAACACCACATTGATTTTTTTCAAAATAGACTTGACATCTTCACCATGGAATATTTCTGCCACCACCTTTCATTCATTTATTTTAAGAGAAAGAAAATGATTTTGTTTTGTCCTGACCTTCATATTTTTTTGGTCTGTCTGCAGGCAGTAGAGAGAGCTCTTTTAGTGATGAATTATCAAGTACAGTTGAGAGGTAAGGCAAATTATACATCATGATTATAAATTAGAATAGAAAATTAATTGCATTTATTATATTTCTGTTTAGTTTTTTTCTGAATTCAGGTCTATATTTATATATACACATTCTTAAATCACAACACATTAACAACATTTGCAGTTCTAACTCTGTTCAGAATCTCAGCTGTTAACATGTTTCTTATTTATTTGTGACGCTTTTGTTTTCTTAAAACAAATGAAAAACACATTCCTCTTCCTGACCACTTTCAGAGGACGTATGTACGCGACACTTGGTCCAAATTGGCGAGTCCCAATCTGTAACTCTCCCAGAAGTAGAGGTTATATTTATAGGTAGGAATATAGCTGTTACCTGTGTCCCTAAAAACTGAAGTTAATGCTGTTGTCTTTCTTAAACAATTATTTTAATCTTCTTATCTTTGTTTCCTTCTTGATTTACTGTACATATCCTCATCACATACTTGAGTTGTTCTGCTGCAGGACATATTGATCTCAGTGTTTTATATGACCTGAGGGAAAAAATGATTTTCTTGCTTCCCCAGTACCCCAGGGGCAGTTTCCAGCTATGAATGCAGTTCTCTGAGCAGTATAACCATTGAAGGGCCCCTGCGAAGAAAGACACTGATGAAGGAGGGTAAAAAACCCACTGTAAGTGTGCAGTCAAATTTACCTGTAAAATTTTAAATGTTAAACATGAGCCAGTATTTTTACCCTGTAGCCCACTTATGATCAATAGGTTAACTTGGATGAATTTATTAGATTAGATATGGCTTTGATGCGTTTGTACATCACTAATTTATATAAAGTTAAGATTATTGTCAGTAGAAACATGAAATGTATTGTAGACTTTATCTAGATATGTTTGTGGTTTGAGGATTTTACCTACTACTCTTTGACCTTATCAGACATGCAGGTTTGATAAGTAACTTATCAAAACAAGTTTATAAAGTTTGCTTAGTTAAGTGACAACTTAATTATGACTTGCCTCTCGTGTGCAGAAGTGAAAGACCTTGCTCAAATGACTTTTATAATTACATGAAATGTTTTCCAACCATGATTGACCTTACCAAACGTATGAAGAAATATTTTAAAATCTTGGCATGGAATCATATACAAGCAATCAAGTATAATTACAGTGTTTGGTAACATCTCTGACTCACTCTGCCTTGCAAGTTCCAAGAATCTCACAGAATACCATCCTACAAATAGGCATATACAATACAGTGTTGCACACTGGTACATCTTCAGTTACAGAATATCCTTAGGATAGAATGTCCTGCCATTTGTCTGGTTTTTCTATGTGCCAGAATGCTGGACACTTATGAGTTAAATATTAAAGATGTGGTGACTATGCCAAATCTCAAAAATTTTGATAGAATGAGGAAAAAACAAAAAGGGTGTATTTTGTCGACAAGCCAAGGCACGAGTACTTGCAAAGTACACAACTTAATACTTTGATTCAGCAAGGTTACAATAAATTTATCAAAAGTGACACTACAGAGTTTTCCGTTGTAAGAAAATATTTATATTTCAAATAAATGCTGTTGTTTTAAAAGTTCTGTTTAAAGAATGCTGAAAAGATGTATCACGGTTTCCACAAAAATATTAAGCAACACAACTGAACAGGCTAGAACTAAAGTAGGGGTGCTAATGAGGGACAGACAGGTGAGGAGAATCAACTAATTAGGAGGACACAGGTGAACTGACTAACATAATTAAACACAGGGAAAAACTGGGTCACGGAACACATGAGGAATGAAAACGCAACAAAAGTTCATGAAAACTAAAAAGAACAGAATATATAAGTGTGACATGAAAGGGGATCTATTATGCCCCTTTTTTACAAGATGTAAAATAAGTCTCTGATGTCCCTAGAGTGTGTACGTGAAGTTTTAGCTCAAAATACCCCACAGATCATTTTTATAGCTTGTTTAAGTTGCCACTTTTAGGGTATGAGCCAAAACGCGCTGTTTTTGTCTTTGCCCTTTTAAATGCAAATGAGCTGGTGCTCCCAGCCCCCTTTTCAGAAGAGGCGGAGCTTTAAAAGGTAATACCCCTGCCAGCACACCGGCAAACTGAAACTGTCAGAAACTCTCAAGCGATCGACTCACATTGCATTCATATGCTTTTTTTAACTACCGCATTCCTATTTACGATCATTCTGGTAGCACGTGAAAGCAGCATCAGTGAAAACAGGCAGAGACGATGGTAGCTTTAGCAACCATTAGCCTTACAGAGTGCCAAGAAGCTCTTTCAGAAAGGCAATTTGAAAACAAAATATAAAGCGCATACTTTGTCTGGATCTGACGTTCGCACACAAAGCGTTGGTATTGATTCCACTTTCAGAATCAGACTTTGTGAAAATCCAGCATTTGTGAGGCAGTCCGGTGTAAAATGATTGGCATGACTTTATCGATTTTTTTCGGTACATTTCCTTCGAAAATGAAACTTAACCACTAGGGCTGGGTATCGATTCAGATGTTCCAATTCGATTCGATCTGGTGGTGTTGACGTCGGGAACGCACCTGTATCCGCCATTTTAAGCAATGAATGAATGACGGACTCTCCGTTGTAACATCGCGCAAGGCAAATAAGGGGGTGACATCTAGTGGATTAGACTAGTAATAAGATTAACGTAAATCTTATGTCCAATGTTTGCGGAAATAAATATTGAAAAAAATTGATTCGTGGCCTTTGAGAATCGATATTGAATCGACCACATTTTAAAAAACGATATATCGAAAAATCTATTTTTTTTTGCCCAGCCCTATTAACCACAGTGTCCTTAGAGGCTCAGATGGAGGGAGTCTGTGGGGACTCCTATGTTCATTGGTGCATCGCAAAACACAACACTGGTAATGTCTCTTTGGCGCTGACATTTGGTGCATTCCAAACGGGATATATCGCCCTCCGAAGGGCACTTCGGTCGTTCCAAACCGAAGTGCTCAAAACTGGCCACTTCAAAGGACCCTTCGGAATGAAGGATTTCGAAGGGTACAACTGATGGACACTTCAGGCTCCCATGATCCTTTGCGCAGATTCTTTACATGATGACGACAACTCCGTGTGGGCATGTGATGATGACGCAGAAGGGCACTTCAAGAAACAGTTGTTTGGTCCTCTACACCCTTCAACCCTTCGAAGCTCTCACTCCGGAGGGTAAACCCTTTGAAGGGATTAGGGCATAGGGATGAGCCCTTCCGAATGGAACGCAGGGGTTGTGTATCTCCAGTAATGGCAGACTGCTGCTTCTCACTCAGGACTGTGTCTATGCTAATAGGTCAGAGAGTGTCACAAATGGGCGGGGCTTTTTTCCCTATGGTGACGTGCACCTAGGGAGAAATCTGGAATGGCTTGTTCTGAGAGACAGTTATTGGGATTATAAAAAAAAATGAGTGAGTGGATTTTTACCATAACAGGCTAGTTGTTTTCACACACTGCAGCCACACAACGTGTTCAATCACCTTATAAAAGTGATTTTTGCATTTTTGCATTATAGGTCCCCTTTAACATTGACAATAGAATACTATAGAATGTTGTTTGGTTTTAATAGTAAAATATCACCTTCTGTTTTTTTCTTATCAGTGCATCAGTTATGTGGCTTACATGCTGTTAAATCCATTATAAATTGCAGAATCCATGTCTTTACTGTGTAAATGTTTAAACTAAATATGTAATCAATCATGAAATATTTTATTTTGCACATCCAAAACCATTTGTAGTGTCTTGGCCAGGTCTTCATTGTTGGAGGTCTAAATGTCAGTGTGACTGCCCCAGTTGATAGTTAATAATAAAGAAATAAAGATGGATATACAGTACATAAAATAGTCATGTCTGTTTGAGTTTTTAGAGAAGAGCACTTAGTCTGTCTCTTAAGCTGATTTGCACTTTTATTTTCTTCATGTCAGCTCTCATCCTGGAAGCGCTACTGGATTGTCTTATCTGGCTCCATTCTCATCTATTTTGGTTCTAAAGCTCTAAGAGCAAATGAGCGAAGACATGTGAGTGATTAAATATTCTCTCAATTCAATGTGAAAACACTTTTTTTTTTTTTTTACTTATGAAGTGCCATCTAAGCTATTAGTCAGACTTTAACTGGTCGAATAATAAAAATAAAAAGTAAAAAAAAATAAAAATCTAATTCAGTTCAGCTTTAAGAACTTATCGTTTAGATTATTTATGCTAAGGGAAATTCCAGTACTCTTTTGAATTCAAGCTTAAATGAAGTTTACTTGGCTTAACCTCCTTGTAATTGTGCCTTTTTGTCTTAAGTATAAATCCAGGCCATGTAAAAAGATCACGCTCACAGGTTGGATGGTGGTTCTGCCAGAAAACCCTGATCATCCAAATATTTTCCAGCTTACTGATCCTGAAAGAGGTACTGTTTTTCATCTGTCTACAACTCATGCATGAACATATAATGTATGTGACTTAAAATATAATTCTTCACAAACATAAACTGTTTCACACTGTGATAAAATAGCTACAAAACAATGTTTATGGCTATTTTTCATTCATTTGATGCATACGACATACAAATGTTTGACATAAAAATGCTTTTGTGCTTTCTACTTTATATTTCGATTCAAAACAAACATTCGTTTCGCAATCAGAAAAGCTTGCTTTAATTGTGTGGCATTTTAAAACTCTCACCGACTGTCACTGAAATGTCATGCCACTTCCCAGATTGAAGGTGTGAATCAGAAACTTTTGGAGTACTTTCACTTAGTATAGCATTGTAAGCGGCAGGCAGGTGACGGATAAATTCTTCAATTTGGTGGTTTCAGAAATGAAAGAAAACTGGAACATTGTGAAAGATCATCTAAAAGAGATCATGATGCTCTTTTTTTTTTTTTTGTGTTTTCTGTTTTGTCGTTGAACGTATTTGCCTTTTAAATGTAGAGAAAAAAGTTCTGTAATATCCTGATGAGGTTCCAGGAAATAGTTTGAATCAAACAGCATTATCTTGATGTGTGAGCACTGGCTTCATGTAGACCTTGATATGTATACAAATGATCTTCTACTGAAAGATGACAAAGTCCAGATGGTTTGTTTAAACATGAAAATATTTGACATAAAAAATGAATCATTGCTACATAGATTTGATTCAGCAAATTACTTTATGGCTTTATAAATGGCAGATTTGCAATGTCACCCATACAAGTTCAATTGTTTTAATCTGTGGTTCAGGTAATGTTTACAAGTTCCAGACTGGATCACGTTTCTCTGCGATTATCTGGTACAGACATTTAGCCGAGGCGTGCAGGAGTATAAGACCACAGGTAAGTGTATCGTGATTCGTGACACAAAATTTCTCATGTAAAATAAATATGTGTAATTAACCGGTATATGCAAGAATGTCACATTGTTTTCCACAGATACCAGCAAACCTCATGTCCTTTGAATAGCTGCTTTTTGGGAAGTGGAATACAGATGAAGAGAATAAACCTCATGGAGAAAGACATTGCAGAAGAGTTTATGCGAGGGGGCAGCATGTTGGACCTAACATAGTTGGAAATGTGGCAGCTGTATCTGTTGAAAAAGTCCAAAATTCTTTCAGACATTGTTGACACAGCTGTACTGAGAGAGGATGGTCTTGTGTCTTCAGTTTAGTGGTAACACTTTACAATAAGGTTCAATTTGTTAACATGATATAAAGGAATAGTTCGCTCAAACATGAAAATATACCCACCCTCAGGCCATCCAAGATGTACAGTAGACGAGTTTGTTTCTTCATCAGAACAGATTTGGTAAAATTAGCATCACATCACTTGCTCAGCAATGCATCCTCTGTAATGAATGGGTGCCGCTTCTGGCCAAAATACCAGTTCATAATCCATAATAACACTTCCTTCAGTGAAAAAGTCCTTCCCATGTTTAGAACTGTAAACAGCGCTTGATCTAAGCGTAGTTCTCTTCTGATTCAGAATTTTTCACTGGAAAAAGCAATATCATGGATAGAGGACTCATATTTTAGCTGGAAGCAAGTTTGAAGTTGGCTGGAAGATAATGATAATGAATTCATTATTGCATTGCGGCCATTTTTATAGCATTTATCCATCTAAGTTAATGTTTGTTTATAAATATACTACTGTTAATCCTATCCATATTTTTTCATAATACATTCAAGTTAATTTATACAATCATATATAACTGATGTTAACAAATTGAAACCGTATTGTTAGTTTTACCTGACAAACCTAAAGGTACATGTGAAATATCTTGTAAATGACATGTATAAAATAACATTGTCCAATAGATGTCTTCATGTGATTAAGTGCCAAAATTATGACCTTTGTATTATTAAATCTCCTAGAATTATGTTCAATTCATGTTAGATGTTAGAGAGCAAAAGTGAAAGCATTATATCCCTGGACAATGAGCATGCATAAAACATTTATGACAGCACTTCATAAGAGGAGCCAAAAAAGTGCACTGTATAAAGGGAAATTTGTTACATAAAGGGAATTGCACATTGACACAATAATTTAAATAATTTTGCATTTAAATGGCAAATTTGGATTATTAAACATGTAATGTCACACGGGTATCAGGAAATAAGTGCCAGTGTTAATGTGGTGTAGTTCAACTCAAAGTTCTGTAGTGTATTTACTTGTGGACAAAATATGAGTGATGTCCGATTGTATGTCTTGACATCATAAAGTGGGCAGGACCCAAAAGGTATATAGTTCTGGATGCTGATTAGGTTTTATAGAGATACTGTTGTAAAATGTACATGTAAATGAAGTTCCGGGAGAATGTGAAGGGAAGCAACTGTCTTGTTTTGTCAAAGTCTTTTGGTCAGAGCCATGTATGATGTATTCATTGGAGAAACAACAATTCACATTTAATACTTCAGTGTAGTATTATTTTTGTTATTATTTCTTTATTTATTTAAATGGTATACATCAAGAGGTCTGTACAAATTGTAAAGTACATAACAAAGTGTAGTATTTTGCAGAGTCACAAATTTTTATAAGGTGTAGGAATGAGACTCATTCTTCCTCATAGGTGACATTAAGGCACTAAATGTGAAGTGTAGAATGCTTTGTAAATTGCAAATGGAGATTATACTTTGTTTGATTTTCTGTAAATTCTCTGGAACATGCATGGATGTTTTGAACTAACAGGTTTTTTTGTGTCACTTTAGTATCAGTATAAATGTGTGCACACTATCGAGGCATGTACAGGAACTACTCCAGGAAAAGCTGTGAATCTTATCATTAAAAAATTGGATCAGGCTTTGAATCTTCAAACAGTACAGAACCACTTACAACAAAACTACAACATATGATAAAGATGACAGATGAAATGCCGCTCTCACAGATTTTGTTCGATTTTGAGTCACGTAAGCAACCATTTCAGCTGTGATTAGATAGCACATCTGCACTGATGTTATCAGCAAGTACAGTATTACTAAGTGGTAGCTACCTCTTTATTCTTTCTTTTTTGGGGGTTATGGTTACCATACCATCTGAAAGTTCACATATTTCTGTACATTTCTGTCCTCTGCTAATGACTGAGTTTTGGATGTTCTATTCGGTTCTCACAATGTGATGTCATTGAATCTTTATATGGTCTATAGTGAGCCTAGACCTTTTACTAACTCAATGCTTTTGTGTTTTGTCTTTATGGAAATATATGCCTAATGAGAACAATTGGTATGGTTTGACATTTCACGCTTACACACTATATGACATATTTCCTTACATGTATCTTTTACTTCGTAGTTCCTGTAAATTCTCGTCTCCGGGTAGTTTTGTCTTTTTAGAAATCAGAATCACATTACATTCAAATACATTCTCATCTCATCTGAACACATTTTACTCTTATACTAAATTTAATCTATTCTAAAACAAAATTCCATTTCCCCTAAGAACTCAGTAAATGTAGTTTTGAAACAAGAAAAAAAAATCCCATACTAGGCGACAGTATGTTAAATGTATATGTCTGAATTCACAGTATATTCTTAGGTAAAAGTACCCTGTTGACCTACTGCTACCGGCAAGATTCTCAAGTGTATATCCAGAGGACTCTTTTCTATCCCATGATGCCACAGGAGAGGAGTTGGCTGAAAAGAGATACAACTGACATCCGTAGGTAACTTGATAATTGCAACATGGTACATGTAGTAGGCTATGTCTGCATCACATTCAGCTACGTATTCAAAAGAAGTCCCTACTCAGGGAGTACACGTTTTCGGATGCAGCCTTTGTCTTACTAAGTGAATGTAGTTTGTTTGTTTTAACTGTAAGAACATTTTTCTTCCCCAGCTTTTGGGCAGATGCATACCTTTGGTCAGACCTTTACTCATGGTCAGACCTTTGAGAGTGCTAAGACTGGACAACCATCATCTTCCATTGATGTTTCCATTCCGCAGCATTCCAGAAGATGAGTTTGAGTGTAGGGTGTTTGCTACAAAAAGCCCCAAGAAGCAGTGGTTTACAGTGAATTTATAACAGCTAAGGGGGGTTGTTAGCTAAAACCCCCTTAGCTGTTATAAATATACTGTAAACCAAAGCTTCACGTGACTTATTGCTTTTATAAAACGGTTATTCCATATACGTAGTAAGGTTTCACAAAATAAAACAGAGCAAATAAAGTGTAATGATATTAATAAAAACATTATTCTTCCGCCAAACAATGTAGTTCCTCGGAAACGGTTGTGGTTGCAACAAAGTGGTTGCCGAGCAACATACAAGCGTAAACAAAGGTGTATGTTTGTAGAGTAATTTACAACCGCTTCGAACGCGGCTCAACCAATCAGAATCAAGGACCGGAACTATCCGTTTTATAATTAAGATTTTGTGCCCACTTCTGTAAGGATCCTTTTTGGCATGATGAAGCTGTTTGAGTTTTCCTGTGAACCATGGTTTTTCATTATTGAATGATCGAAATGTCCCGGTAGGAATGCATGTATTCTCACAGAAACTGATGTATGATGTTACAGTATCTGTGAAGTCATCAGTGGCTGCAGCTTCAAAAACACTCCAATTTGTTATATTTTTTTAAACTGGGATAGCAGAAAGTGTTTTACCATTACATACTTTACCATTAACATTGTATGCTATTTGTTTTTATTTTATTTTATTTTTTTCACGTGTCTTCTGAAAATAATTGTAATAATATTAATGTATAAGTCCTTTGTTAGTATATATTTTTTAATATTACCATTCAAACTGTAATTAAAATGTAAATTTCAGGGGAAAGATTTTTTTTAATAAAACGTCTGTATGACAATTTTATTGAAAAACATTTCAAGTATTTTGAGAAACAAACTTTGTTACTTATGCTAATGGTTAAAACACCAATTTAAATGCATTTCTTAATTATTCATAATTAAAACATGGTTCATGTATTGATGGAGTCAAGGTAGTCAAGATAGAGGTCAAATGACAGATCAGTGACACTGATTATAAAATAAATTACATGTGTCCTAATGCTTCTATTTTCTCAGTTTAAAGGGATAGTTCACCCAAAAATGAAAATTCTGTCATTAATTACTCACCCTCATGTTGTTCCAAACCTGGAAGACCTTTGCTCACCTTCAGAACACAAATTAAGATATTTTTGCTGAAATCCGAGAGCTTTCCAACCCTGCATAGACAGCAAGGGTACTACCACGGTCAAGGCACAGAAACGTATTTCATGCGCTGCACCTTGTTTACGTTCAGAGGTAAGCATGCGCATGTGTCGTGATACTCTCCAAAATGGAAATTAATTGTTGAATAAAGTTATTTTTGTTTTCTTTGCACACAAAAAGTATTCTCGTAGCTTTGTAAAATTACAGTTGAACCACTGATGTCACATGGACCATTTAACCAATGTTCTTGCTACGTTTCTGTGCCTTGATCGTGGTAGTACCCTTGCTGTCTATGGAGGGTCAGAGAGCTCTCGGATTTCATCAAAAATATCTTAATTTGTGTTCTGAAGATGAACGAAGGTCTTACGGGTTTGGAACAACATGAGGGTGAGTAATTAATAACAGAATTTTCATTTTAGGTGAACTATTCCTTTAATAACTGTGCTCAAATATGACTACATTAAAAAAAAAACATGTAGCATATATCAACCAGTTATGATAGAAGACTACTTTTTATGTTAGGGAGGAAGATCATAAGGTCTTTATATAAATCATTGTGTTTAAATCTTTTTCCTGTTTGCTGGAAATGTTCAAAAGTATTTGATGACAAACTTGTTTGTCAAGTGACCTACAAATTTTCCATTGGTCAGAAAAACAGATTATCACAGCGCTGGTTGGTTTAGCTTGTTGGGTTGCTTAAAGTTAACAGGGTGATGTTAACAGTGCTACAGACATCCTTTACAGGGAAATCAACTTAGGAATGCTTTACATAGTTTTTTTGTATTAACAGTAATCCTGATTGATTGCATTAACTGAACAATGGCAAAAAAAAAAAAAAAGTAATCTACTTGAGGCAGGCAAGTCTTCTATGACCCAACAGAATCTATTGTGTTGTTGAATTACTTCTTGTTAAACTTGATAAAGCTTATCATTCGATCAGTCATTGCTGTTTACAACTCTATTTATTTCACTTGCAAACAATTCACAATGCTTTACTTTTTTTGCTCTATTGTCACAGAAAACGTTCATTGGTCGTTCTTAGTTTTAACTCATCTGGTCATTCATAGTTTTGTTTAAAAATAGGTT